TTCAAAACTTCTATACAATTGCCAACTACTTAAATAATTTAATTATCATTTTTTTTATTAAAAATAAAAAATATTAAGTTCAAATCATATAACATACAAGGGAAATGAAATAAAAAACAAAAAATAATTAACTCTCGTTATACGATTAATATAAAAAAAAAAAACTTCTATACGACTAGCTAAACGTCACATCCGGATATCTTATGGTGTAAGTAAAATTTTGCGAAATTAAATTTGAAATTAATTTCGCAAAGAAAAAAGGACGGAAATTTGGGTTGAGTATTAATAGTAAGTGGCGCTTATTAATCCGGCAGTTAATCAGCCAACAGAAATCAAATGGTACTAGCTGGGGTGTCGTCATTTTCGATTAGATTATGTAAGTACTGTAGCAAGTAGAGTACTTTACTAGTACAGTAATATTTAAGTTAAATCTTCAATTTGATCCCTAAACTATTATACAGACTCCAAATTTGGTCCGTACTGTTTTCAATTTGTCTCAAATTAATCCTTTTGTACAAAAAAAAATTGATGTGTCTAGTATTTAATGGCAAAAATTAGTAACTTAACAGTAAAAAATAGTAATTTAATAATCACGTATCATGTTAATAACGAGACACATCAGTTATTTTTTGTATAGAAGAACTAATTTGAGGCAAATTGATAAATAGTATGACCAAATTGAGGATTTGTATAATAATTTAGAGACCAAATTAAGAATTTTTTTAATTCAGGAAACAAATTAAAAATCCATATAATAGTTCAGGGATCAAATTAAAAATTTAACCTAATATTTAAAATGTGGGGTTCACTTCCTAATTCCTATTTTCAATTGCCGCTGGAGAGAAGATAAAATTTTCAAGTACCGTGAGTCAGCAAAATCTCGACTCAAAAATTTAAATTTGAAGTTATTATCGATGTTTATAATCTTAAGTAAATAATTTTTAATACATTAAAAAAATGATTTTGTAGTTTAATGATTATTAATATTTTGTAAAAAAAAATTTATATTAACTTCAAACGTCGGGTTTGAATCCCACTTTATAAGGTTTAATAAAAAACCTTTAATATATTAAAAAATATTTGTTGACCATGGTGTCATAGAGAAGCGCAGCATAATCCATCTGTGTTTTGGCCAATAAAAGAAAAAAAAAAATCGTTTTTGGCCTTAAATCAAAAATAGAGTTAAGAGTTAAGACTGTTAACTAGGGACAGTTTTTTTCTTTTAACTGTGCTAAATATACAAAGAACCTCTACCTTAGCCATAGGGGCAAAGTTTTTTTTTTTTTCAAATAGGTAACTTATTGCAATTAAGGAGAGTAGGGGTAGGAAAAAATAAGAAAAGAGTTGGTGGAACTTGAATAGACTCTCACTGGATAAATTTTATATAGATAGTAACTGTGCTACCGCACCTACAATGTAGATTGCAACTATAGGGGCAAAGCTTGGTTTAATTACACCCTTTAAAACAATTCCTTCCATCACCACTTGCCACCTAATATTATTAGGTAAGTTGTAGGTTTATATATTTGCGTTTATAATTTAAATTTCTGAGAATTTTCTCAAAATTTTAATACAATTAGGTATTTTCTAATGGTTTTGGCACAGATCCTAAAAGTACTAGCTTTTTTTTCTTTTTTTTTTTTGTCCAGTTTGATATCTACTACTAGGGGACAGGTTTCATCTTTGTATTGTTGATTTTATAATTTATTGATATGATATATAATATTGGTATCTAGGCATTTTTTTATAGGCATTTTGCAAAATGTCTCGAGCACAGACATATATGGAATAAACTCTACATTTATAATTTATTTATTCTGAAGAGAGAAGAGAAAAAGGGAATAAAATGTCTTATTTATAAAACAAAAATTAGAGGGAAGGATGGGGTTTTCCTTTAATTTCCTTCACAATTTTACAATAATCAAATGAAGAAATTAAAAGAGAGGAAAATGAAGGAATATTATCTTATTTCCCTTCCCCTCCCTCCTATCTATTACTCTCAAATTAAATAAGGGGTGAAAATAGACATAGAAAAAATGGGAAATCTCTCAAGTCTCAAATCAATAGTCAAAAGTTCATAAAAATAAATAAATACTAATGGCATGTAGTAAAAGAAAGACTTCTCTCACCTGCTCTAGAACTCTCCAACATCTGCCTCAAAACTTCTATAGTTTTCATCTCTTTTTTGGGTGCTCAGAAGTCTTTGAGCTTCTCAAGCTTTTGATGCGTGAACAATCAGAGGGCTTCTCAAGCATGATGGAGCTGGTCAACCGTGCTCCTATGTTCGGTGACCACTTTAAATGGTCTGTCGGTTCTTTTGTGGCCTTGTTGGTGGCATTGTTGGTGGCCTTTGTTCTCTTTTCTTTTTGTTTCTTGTTTCTTGTTTTGGTTTGCTTAGATCTGGCAACCAACAAGCCAATCATGAAGAATTCAGGGGATGGCCGCCACTTGCTCTTATGTTCCAGCCACAGCATCCTTGAGAACAAGCATAATTTATGCAAGAGTAAATGGAAGGGTGTCCAGTTCTCTAGAATGGTCGATCAAAGGAATTTGTCAAAATCTATTTCCTTAATGGTTGTTCGTGTGAAATACTCACTTCCCCTCTTTTATCTGTCTTATGTTGAACTTGATCTATTTTTAATTTTCTCTCCAGTTGTGCTTTATCTATTTGTAATTTTTTTCTTATCAATAAGATCAGAATTTCTTATGTAGATGTTGTATGCCTTTGATGAAACAATATGCTTTTCACTGAATTTAAAAAAAATAATAATTGCACGTAATCTTAAGTCAATAACCTGAAATATATGTGATAGAATTTGAAATTAATATCAAGCCTACACATGATAAGGACATGCTAAGTGGGAAAAAATTTTACATTGAAAAATAACAAAAAAAAGTATGTAAATTAAATACAAAGAAAATTATTTATTTATTATCAATTGATTTTAAATTAGATATGAACTTTATATTAAAACCCACATAACTATATTTCATATGTAAAATAATGAGTCAAAGTAAAAGTCTTCTTAGGGCCACTAATATAAGCTTGTGAAATACGGGATGATAATTTGGTGTCCTTATTTTCAAATGAAGCTGCTACTTCTTGTAAGAGGGTGGACAAAGTCCGCTGCTCTGCCCCCATTTTCTTTGGAATTTCATGCTTTTCCAAATATTGTATCATTATGTATTGTAGACTTTTAGTCATACTTAACCTTGTTTAATGACCCAGTCAACACAGGAAGGATCTTATGATCTGTATTATAGATGAAACTATATACTATTTCCTCGATAGATTTTACAGCTGTTTCAATGTGAAAGTCAAATAGTAATTAAAGTTTATTTTCTAGTGTAATATAGTTACTCCGTTTATGGTTAAAAAAAGAAAATGTGAAAGCTGCTAAAGAAAAAGGTTTAAGTTATTTGTTTAATTAATTTAAACGTAATTAACATGTTTGTGTGCCATATTAAAAAAAAAAAAAAAAACCGATATAAAGAGAAATGACCAATTGATGTTTTTGGACCATAGAATCGTCCTCTTTTCTTTGGCATTTTGCATATTGTAATCAAGAGAGATAAGACTCCAAGAGCTAATGGGCGGCTCACATTATAAAACAGTGGAAAGATCACAAAAATTATCATTACTTTGTTGTTCAACAAGAATAATCAAACAATTTGATTAAGGCTAATTTCAGGACCCACACTCAGCATGCGCCCCAAATCCGACAATGGGATGTCGACAATTTGCTTTCCAGCCATGGATAAGAGCATGCAAAGATGATGCAAAACAAGTAGGAGAGATGAAAGAAGATGGATGTATATAACTATGTGAGCAATATTAATTATCAGCTCTAATTGTGGATAAAGTTTTCTAATTAATTGTTTAACCACTTCATTTGTCTTAATCCGCCGTTTTACTTTTTTATTTCTATTTTTTTTAAACAAATTTACAAGATATTGGATTTGAATCGTTACCTTGAAAGAAATGGATTGCACTCATACGTGACCTAACATTACTGAGTCCGAAAATCCAAGTACATCTTTTTACTTTCTTTTTGAAAAAAAGGAAAAAGTGAATTCAAATAAATTTTTTTACTGTAGTATAGTATATGATGATAAAGTCAAACCGAAATATGTAACCAACTAATGTTTTATTGGTTTGACGACTGGTTAATGTTTCCTAAGTTAGACCAAATCAGTCCAAAAATTCCATTTAACTTACAAATTAGCTTATGATTAACGTTTGATTAAATCAATGGTGTAATTATTATTTTTTTTCCATTGTGGCACACAAGGTTTGCATTTGGCAATTGGCAATTGGCATAAAACGAGAAATTAGGAATAAGCCTTTGATGCAACGAATGACACACTATTTCCAATTCTCTTTTCTAGAACTATTTTGGAATTAATGTTAAATTGCATTCCAAGCAATCACATCTAATTAATTTCATAATTAAAAAAATTGACTAATTAGGTTATATATTGAAGTTGGTTAGAAATCACAAGAAGTTAATTTCAAAACCGGCGAAGTATTCAAATGATATGAGAAGAATATTCAAAGAAAAAGGTCGATTAGCATACCATCAAACAGTATTAAGGTTCAATGATAGCTTATACGTATTATACTACTAAGGTCACATCAACTTAAAAAGACTGGAAATCCATCATTTATGCTGGAATTAAGAGATTTGAGAAGAAATTTTTTTCTCCTCGGAGTCAAAATCTAGAAGGTATTCGATTAATTTGATTAAACAAGGTGATTATGAAAGAGAAGGTTTGAAGAGGTCAATTACATGTTGGTTTGATCTTGGACTTCTGATGATGATGGCATTTTGAACATTATCACTCAGATATGTTAGTTGGCCGAAAACAAAACAGATCATATATCCTCTTGGATCTAAATGAAGAAATAATTATTATTAATAAAAAAATATTATACTATTTAAATTACACTAAAATTATATAATACTTATTATTAAATAAGACGTGTATTTCTTGATATTAAAAGTTATTCCTCTTATTTAATGATTTTTATTTTACAATTTAAATTATAAAATATAAAATTCTTATCATAAAAATTTTAAAAAAAAGTAGACTAAAGAGGTTGCAGTATGAATTGGGTTTAAGTTTTTTCAAAATGAAGAATAGATAGGAGAACCTATAAGCTGTTTACAACTTATCATATAAAAATTAATGTAATTAATAAAACCCATTAAAAAAATACTTTTCTATGATAGGTTAGTATATAAAATTTTAGGCGGTGGTCATGATTGGTTCATTATTTAAAAGAGCAAAAAATAAATAATCTAAAAAACTCTCTATATCAAAGTTTGTCGTGTTTAACATGAATTTAAGCAAAATCCAGAAGTTTAATAGACCTAATGGAAGATGTTATGGTGTCAAATTTTAAATTGTATTCCCATATAATTAGGATAAAGTGATCAATAACTTCATGAGTTTCAGGCAGATGTAAAGATGTGTATTAATCTAAGGTAAGAGAGATTAGCGATTAATATTCCAAAAATCATGTTGTGACGAGGAGCATCAACTACTTTTAGACTCGTGCTAGCACAGTGCATGGAAATGCATGACCTTAATTTGCGGTTAGGGCACATGGGGTATGCTTGAAACCACGTAGGAGAATCATGTCCCCTCTGTTTTTTCAATTTCATAATCATTAACTTTGAATGCTGTGTATTTTGTGATAATATAATTTTTTGAGGAACCAAAGGTATTTTTGTTTGGAAGTTTCTGAGTTTCTTTCTTTCTTCTCTTCCAAGGAAACATTGAGAGATCTGGGGCAGGGAGGTGGTGTGGCATGGAATGAAGAGAAATGTAAATCTATGTGGATTTAGGGTCACATGGTTTAGAGTCAATTAATTGTGAATTTATGAGTATCTCAAGAACTCACATTATGGAGATCTTCTTCTAGCGTACAACTCTAAAAGGATACTTTGTTTGGACATTTCTTTTTGGGGCAATTTGAACCCGTATATCACTCCTTGTCAGGCTCGAATTTTGTTGATTTCTAGATTTGTGAGGTGAACAGCTAAGCAAGAAATGTTGGATATATGAATTCTTTTTGTATCATATGGAGCTTAAGTCATAAATATATCCTTCAAAAACAGAGTATGCCATGTTTCAAACACATGATTCACAAGGAATTGGTGGTCCTGGGCTGCTGGGCATCCGAGTTCAATCAGCTCAATGAGTTCACATGGACTACAAAAGTTCATCATTTCCTGCTTTTAGCAAATTGGCAGTGGTTTCCTGCGCCATTCCCATCCTTTTCACATATTTTTAAAGAGTTTGTTGTTTTTTTAATTCCAATTAGATCCAATTACATCAAGCTGTAAAATATTAATTAATAAAATAAAAAAACCTTAACACCCATTATCGAAGGACCTCTTATCATCTAAAAATTAATATTTTACAGTTTAGATTATAAAACATGTTTATTAATCTTTTAAATCCTTTGAATAAAAAAAAGTCTTGATAATTAAATCTGTCAGTGATCAATGAGGCTTTTTATCCAGTGATAACATGACCTGTTGACATATTTTTGGAAGTCTTGCAGATTGCAACCAACGTTGTTGCGAAATCTATCGTCTATTGGAACTCAGTGAAATATAAACTATGAATGCATGTGATAAGAGTGAATCAAATGTGTAATAACACAAAGAAAGAACTAACAAGAAAAAGAAAATATGAGGAATGAAACCAAATAATACAAGGTTGCATTCTCAAAAACTATCAAAACATAAACTCACATATGACAGTCAACTATTTTTTGTTCTTGGCTTTCCTGACTTGGTCCGCTTTTGTTCTTCTTGGCTTTCCTGATTTCTGCTTCTTGTATTCTTCGTATGATTGTAGTGATTGTTTTGTTCGGTCCAACTCAGTCCTTAACCTCTCGTTCTCCTTTATGTCATGAAGAAGAATGAAATGTTCACGTAGTTTCTTGTTCACCTCATTTCCATCGATTGAAATAGGCTCAATACTAGATGATGTTGAAGACACATTTCCTCTTTTCCTCTTGCTATTTGACTTTCGCATGTCACTTGTTGGATTAAATGCCTCTTGTTCAAGTGATAATTTCATGAAGGCCTGTTGAGGAGTAGTGGAGAGGAAAACTTGGTTCTGAGCAGTGTTCATGGTCGATATGCTTGAAGCAATTGTTGAAACAGTTGGATGATAATGTCTGGATAGAAGATTAACTTCCCAAAGGACTGAAGCAAGTGCACCACTTAAGTTGGGATCTGTGGCATAGGGCTGATATTTCTGTACATCAATGGGGCAGTAGGAGAGATTATAGATTGGTCAGCTGAATGAGCTAAGGTGCTTCTGTCAAAGAGGCTACCTCAAAAGTAAAGAAGTATTAAACATGGTACACGAGGTAGAACTATGTAACGTGAATAACACATTTATAAATAGTAGCAAACACCTTGTCAAGAACAGCACAAGAACATTTATCATTAAAAAATTGTAGTATGATAGCTTACCGCAATGGAGCCTGAAACTGAGCCACCACCAGCATCATTTTCTAAAAGATTTCGGCACTTCACATTTTTCTGAAGAAGATGCCTTACTGTTACCAAGGCTGCAAAAGTATTATACAAAATAAGCAGAAACTAAGGCATAAGAAAAACATAATTTAGCAATTGAAATGAAATAAGTAGATAACTGCAAAGTAAATTACCAGCCATAGATTCTGCAGATCCAAAGCTTAATGAAAATGTGGCCAAGCGTTTTACAAATGCAGCAGCCTTTTGCATGTCATGTTGTCTATCATCACATAACATGATCTTCAATGCTTCAGCTAAGACTTCGCCTTCATCCCTGATCCAAAGTACCAGACACACCTTAAACATGAGATAATTTATGAAGCTGGGACCAACATATCTAAAAATTTAAATCCGTTCAGCAACTAATATGATTTACGATTTTCAAATAAATAAATTTAAGGACAGCATATTTTGTACCAACCTTCCAGGCCTGTACTCAAGTATGAGATTGTAAAGCTGGACAAAAAATTCTTGTAAATCAACATTCAGGGCATCAAGATTGATCCTCATCACCTTAAAAGCAACAATGCAGCAGCGGAGGCGTTCGGATACAGTCAAAATTTTTAAGTTCTGGGAGGAATTATCATTGCTACCTCCAGAAGCAAGCTTTTTCAGATATTTCATAAGATCTCCAATGTAATCTAAGTCGATTAGATGAGAAAATTTTCCTAAACCATTCAGACATGGAGCTAGCAATGGGTGCGCCCTAGATGCCTCTGGAGTAGTGCTGGTATTTTCTTCAGAACTGAAAGACAAAATGAACATAACCAGCCAGCTAGATAAGAAAAAAAGTCAAAGGACACAACAGATTGAAATTCATTATGATCTGATTCTTTGGAGGTTAAAAAGTTTTTGTTGACATTTATGAGGCTGTGAGTAGTTAAACAGGCCTCATTGAACTTAAGATTGACATAGAAGATAGATACAAACAGAAGGCTTCTCTCAACCTATGCAATCATATAAGCAATAATATTGAGCTTGTTAGCAGTATATCTGGAGGCTAGTTGAGAAGTAAAGCATAAGACAAAGTGCAAAAAATATCTTAGCTTACCAACAAATGACACTTTAACATCATATAAATATTTTTTAAAAGTAGTCCAAAAAAAATGTTTCCAAAGTAGCCCCCAAAAAAATATATGTTTTAAAAGTATCATACCTGGCCACTGTCAATTGCATAGTATGTCTCAAGATGCGGAAATATGTCTCAAACACGGCAGAAAGAGTCTCTGACTGCATCCTTCGCTGCTCTGTAGCATCTGATGTAAAAGCAACTGCCTTATAATCAGCAGCAACCTGTGCAAAGCACATAAAGATTACATGTTAAATTATCAGCAGGGAAAAAAACAAAAGGAAAAAGAATTCAACATCAAAACACATATAGCTCTTATGGGAAGAAAAATACCTCTTCTTTCATCTTTGTCATCAATTCTTTCTTCCTTTTCTTTCTGTCACTTTCTTGCAGTTGCCTTGACTCCTTGGTATCCTTTCTTTTTTTATTTTTCTTATTTTTAACTTTATTATCCTCCTCTGCTGCTTCTGACTTACCAAGGTCCTCATCAAATGACAAAGACATAAACACCTGAACATGCATTGTCAAAGGAAAAGGGGATATTAATGGAAAACACAGAAAAAAATTTATATTAAAAAAAAAATCCTACTCGTAAGTATCAAAAGGGAAACATTTCCTCTAAAGAATAAAATTTCAAAAGACTAAGACTTATACTAATTGGCAACAGAAACTATGGTCAGACCTTTTCTATGTGAATAATGTTTACCATTGCAAAAATAATCCTCATGAAACATAATAGTAGCATAAAATATTAAAACATATTCCTCCAGTCATGAGCACACTTGCAAGTGATTGGACATGCATTCCGTATAACTACACCAAAGATCTTTTTCTCAGTCAAATTGTTTCCCAAGTTTGCCAAAAAGTTAAAACAGGAACTTAAGAACAAATTTGCAGTGGGATGCAGGGTGAGGTATCATAAAGTACCTCTACAGAATCAGGGTGCAGATCACAATTATGAACTTTCACTTGATCTGCAATCAACCGAACAGCCTCCACAGTAGCTTCACCACCATGCTTTCCCTCATTTACAAACAGTGACTTAATAGTTGTACAACAAAGTCTCCTGTCAACAATTAGCAGACAACTTTGTTGGATGAGAACCAAATAATTGTAGTAATATCGTCCAGCAGCCAAAGTACAATACATGGTGAGCATCACTGACAACCCCTTGGGCAAGATTGGGAAGAAAACAATGGGTTAATTCATCAAAGGAAGTGCTCTAGCTATGTTGAAGGGCATGTTAATATTGTAGAGTTATCAGGGAGTTTCATTTATTGGTCTTTCAATCTTTCAAAATTTATGGGCTAGCAATGTGGTTAAATGGCATAAAAGTAGAACAAAAACATTGCTTTACAAACAACCTAGAGAGCAACTACCATCCCAATAGAGTGTTACAACGGTGAAATTGATGAAATAAATGGCCAGATAGTTGAAGGATGAATTACATCTTGAAATACTGGAGCATCAATAAAGTATAACCTTATAACATCATCTGAGGAGCCTATGTTTCTGACAACAGCATCTAACAAGTTTTCACGGAAGTTGAAGTGAGGAATTGCATCAAGTAAAGTGCAGATACAGCGAACTGCTACATGATGAAATATTGACTGCTTTTCTAAAGCTATCAACCTCTGCAAATATACCTGTTGTGTTTACAAGAAATGTGAGGGGGGAAAGAGAAAAACCATGCTACAAGTACAAGTTAAAGCAACACTAGAAACAGTAAGATTAAGCATTACAAATAAGTAATATCTTCTCAAAAACCACTGTTTCACCTCAATTCAATTTTTGCATAGTTTTCAAAAATTAGATTTTAGAAAATAGTTTTCAACAAAGAAAATGAAAACAAAATAGCCCTGGTATTCTTTGCCAATTTGCTCTCTAGAAGTAGCAACAACTTTGAACAAATAAAAATACATTGGGATTACACATAAATTCAAATTCATATAAATAATGGCACAAAACATGTCAACCCATACCTTGTATGCTGACAATAGTGTCGATTCATAGTACCTCATTTTCTTAACTTCCTTGGAAACTTTCATTTCTAACTCCTTTTCAGTAGGAAGTCTTATTCGATAGCTGTATTACACATTGGGATGAGTAGGGGAGAATTAGAATGCAACACAGGACAATATATATATATATATATATATATATATAAGAACATATAATGGGCAGTGGCAGGACAAAGGCAAGGTTTTTACCCCGGAATAATGTCTTTGAAAACAGCCAACAAGGAAAGCAATCCTAGTTTTACTATAGAAGGATCACCATCTTTACAGATTTGTAACATCTCTTTCAAGGACTTAATATTGGCCTCTGGATCTGCAAGCAGTGCCATTCCAATCTCAGCCAGCTTATGCTTTTTGCTTTCAAATGCATCTTCAGCTGTAAGGTCTTCTTTAACCTCTGCCTAAACAAAGAGAATAGTTTGAACTTTCAGACAATGACCAAGAATGAAAAAACTATAATTTTATCACAAGTGCAATTCTATCAGGTAATACCAAGACAGCCTCTTGTTTAGTCTGTTGAACTTCCTCAGGTTTAGCTAACTCCTTCCCCTGTTTCTTTGCCTCTTTTTTAATCTTCTTAAGCTTTGCCCTACGTTCAGCTTTTGTCAACTTAATTATGCTCTTATCTGCACTGCCAACATCATCATCCTTTTCATCATTTTCTGCTTCTTTTGGACCCTGCAAAACTGCATTGAATAACAACATTAATCATTCTGATTTGCAATATAAGTCTTTCGAACCAGGTTGAAATCAAAAAACAAAGAGAGAGACAAAGATACATGTTCGGTAATATAGCTCTCCATCCAAAGTTTTGACAGGAAGAGCATCAACAGGATCAACTTTAACAACACCCTTTTCATTTTCTTTACGCTGCAATGTTCTCCTCCTTCGTTTTTCATACAATTCCTCTAAAGTATCTTCATTCACACCCTCTACTCGAGTAACTTGCCTGCATGCATATACCCAAGTTGGTATAAAAAAATCTTTACATAAGCTGCAAGCTAATTTTCTGTTAATCTTCATCTTATGTTGCTGCAGTATAACTAATTTAAAATTTTCAGCTGAATTTAAAGAATGAAACTTTAAACTAGAAAAAAAAAATCTGAATTTCTTACTAACTCAGACGAAAATCACAACTAGAAGCTGAGTATTCATTGCTCCGCAAATTTGCAATTTTAAGAAATTCGTAAAGAAAATGAGTGTTTGAGATAAATTAAAGAGTAAATTTACGGACTTGGTAATGGATTCGGTGTCCAGGCGAGAGACGAAGCCAGCATAGTCACGATTCTCGTCGACGAACTCGAGGTCCTCGTCGGAAACCTCGATCTCGTCCTCTGATATTTCCGGAGGAAGCTCCGGCGGCAGAATTATCTGCTGTTTCTTCTCCTTCGCCTTGCTCTTCCCCATCCCTCAATGGACCAAAACCGACACCGTCAATGGAAGCCGTAACCTTCTCGTCAGGAAAGGGATTCGCGAATTTAGGGTTTAGGGTTTTACCAAATGAAACATGCCAAGTTCAACTTGGGCCTAATGGGTTGGGCTTCTGTGCCTGTGGGGCTAGGGTTGTCTTAGAATTTGGGGAAAGATTATGAAAGGCTTTTTATTTTCTTTTTGTTTTTTATAAGAGTAAAGATATATAGGACGAAAAATTTAGGACTTATAATGTGATATAAAATATGTTATTAAATGAATTAATATATAGAATATTATGAGTTTTAATAAATTGAAAATAGTTAATTATTAAATAATATTGGATTCAACTTTTAGTTTTCCTGTTTATTTTTAATAATCATAATTTGACTTTTTAATCTTTTAGATATAATTTTTTTTTAAAAAATAACTTATATGAACAGTAATTAAAAAATTTCCTATATAAAGTTCTTATCGAGTATTTTTAAATGATTAAAAAAATTAATTATTATTTATGTAACATGTTGAATTTTTGTTTAAAATTCAAATCTAAAAAGTCAGAATGTCAAAATAAGATTACTAAAAATAAATGGATAGAGTAATATTTTAAATGAGTAACTAATATTATATCATTAATCTCAAATTTTGGTTACATTAAAATTGTTCATTTTATCATTATTCTTTTAGTAATTGTTGACCGGCTTTAATTATTTGGGAGGTTTAATTTATCAATCTAAAAATAGTTAATAATTAATACTATCATTTAATTTAATAATTAATAATAATAATTATTATTAATTTAAATAGTTTTATTTGTTTAATTAAATGAAATTGTTAGCAAAAACCCTATAACAAGTTTTTTTTCTTTTTGGACATGGTGAAATTATGAGAAAGATGAAATTTTTTCAAGCAATTGATGAAAATCGAATTCTTAACTTACTCAACCCGAGTGTTTAGACTTAGAAACGAATTACAAGAACCAAAAACCTAGTTCCTATAACTAGTTCTTTATGTGAAATATAATAAGAAAAAGAAAAATTATATTTATATTGTGCTGTTTACATGAAAAGAGGTATTCAACGTGTGATAAATGTGTAACACCTCAGGTGCAGTGGAAAATGCGGCTGAAGGCCCACATTATTATGGTTGCGGTTCAAACCTTATCTTATGAATGTTCATGTAGATATTTCTAGTTTATTAGTAATTAATTAGGCTAATGCTAACCTCACATTGGTGAGTTGGTCATTACTAATTATGATTGTTTTGAAATTGCATCAGATTCATATCATATATTCCATGTGTAATAAATGTAAGCGGGTAATGTTGTTGAACTGATTTTAATGATTGATGGTAGGGAGTGAGACCTAAACCTTTTTCTACATCTTCTGTTGAATTATACACCCCTAAAATTTTTGGCTTTTGAATGAAAATTTCTAACATAGACTTATTTTATATAAATTCAATGCTTGAGAAGCCGTCGGTGACTTACTGACCGTCTACTTTCATTGCAAGAATATTTTTATGTAAGTCGAAACGTGGGGTTTAAGTTCCATCCTCATATTTAAAAAAATTAAATTAAATTAAATTTAATGTTTAAAACGGGTGAAAGCCAACTGGACCTGTGGTCCAATTGGTTGGCCCCCAAGCTTTAGGGCTTGGGTGAAGCGGAGATCAGGGTTTCGAACTCTGCTACCGCCGTGAACTCCACCAACTTGCGACTTAATGGTCGCGCGCCTCAAATAAAGGAGTGGAACGTTCACTTTCTTAAAAAAATTCCAGCTGCTAACAAACTAACTCTACTAACTTCCTAACCATCTACCTGGTCAAAAAAAAAAAAAAAGGTGAAAGTAAGTATAAGAAAAGGAAATAATTGCAGATAATGAGATTTGTATCACTTATCATAATTTTTTTTATTTTGATCGTATAATGAAAAGTAATTACTTTTTATTTTTTATCTCATTTTACTCACATATTATATAATTTTAATTTAAAATTTTTTAATTTTAATAAAAAAAATGACTATCAAATTATCTAAGCTCGTTGTGTGTCACCAACCATAATTAAACCGAAGAAAAAGAGAAACACCAACTTGAGTTGATAGAAAAATAGTACAAATTTTCAGGACTCCGTGTGCTTTATTTGTACTAAACATAAAAAAAAAAATAAAAAAAAAAAGGCAGTGTAGAAAATTAATTTATAGTTTTATGCAGATGGGACTTTTTGCCTAGTCATTTTCGTTTGTCACAAGTGTCTTTACAATACCCCTACATTTTAGTTTAATGTACGTACCAGCGTGCATATTAATTAAGGCTACATTTTTCTTTTTCTAATTTTCTTAATTAGCAGTACGTTTATTGAATGAGGCCTTGGTAGTTCAATTGGTATAGAGTGCTAATATAAAAAAAAGATCACACTTGCTTATTAATGATTTAAATAATTTAATAATAAATTTTTTAATAAAAATAAAAAATTTTAAGTTTAAATTACATAATATATAATTAAAGTAAATTAAAGAATAAAAAATTATATTTTATTATATAACTTAAAATAATAAAAAAATCACACTTCTATAATATATAGTGCTAATTATTATGTATATTAAATAAAGTCTTAATAGTTCAGTTGGTATATCTATAACACTATTGTGCTTTTATGATACAGGTTTAATCTCATGTTGTCCTTACTTATAAAGTAAAACTTTTTGTTTCAATTTATTTGTTATTTTGGTAAATCTATTTAATAACCTTAATTATTTTATTTCTTTCAAAATTTCCAAAAGATAAGAATATTTAAAGATTAAGTTTACCAGTTTATTATTTTGAATGAAGGGAGTATAAAAAGGAAAATAAAAAAAAATTGAAGAAGAAGAAGAAGAAGCAGAACATTGAACTCCAATGGGAAGTTAGGTATTCAACTTAAAGACTATATGCTAAATTAAATAGCCATTGAATGTGAGTTAGGTACATTAATTAATGTGTCTAGTAAATGGCCATAATCAATTAGCCTCTGATGCAGCAAATCAGAAATTATATGACCAAGTGTAGGTGAATGCAGTTTTCAAACATTTATGCTACGCAACCATATTTCTTTAGAACATCACTATCCCATTGAGCAACCTGATAAGTACAGACACTCTTCACATTTTGGAGATTGGGATCATCCCTTCCACACTCAAAATGTCACTCTCATCTTTAATTCAGTTTTCCATTCACAGTCTCATTTTTCGGTTGGATTTCTAATCTTGCTTTTGGGTTGATTGGATTTTCAAATTCTTCATAAAAATTCGTCGGTCTTAATTTTGACCAGAATAAAACTCGCAAATGTTATTGTATGTGTGATTGGCATATTCCTAACTTATTTTAATATTCATCGTTTTATATTTATCACATGTGATATTTTTAATAACGTGACTTTAGTCAAATCTTATTGTTTCTCAAACACTCTTTTTTATCTTCACATTATGTTATTGTTATGCTTTAATCACAAAATCAAATAAAATAATAATTATTGAATTTATTAAAAAATTTCACTAAAATATGTATGAAAAACTTATTTATTTTAATGCGATTCACGCTTTTGTAGATAATGAATCGACTGATATAATAAAGATATACATAACATATCACTCTTATAATGCTATAATTTTATAATAATATTTTATGAATCTACATTATTCATGGAGTTATCTAAATCAAAACACTTTCTTATCCAAAAATATTTTGAAAATAGAGTAAGGTAAGAAACTAGGAGAATATGAAAGAACTTTTTTAGTTGAGTAAAAAGACATTTTATTTATAGAACTCATAGTCATATAACTCCTATTTATAGGTGAATGATAATAATAAATTGAATAATTATTATGAAATAGTGTGCCTTTAAATATGATAATTAATCTATAATAACTAATTTGATCAAATTCTTTAATGAAACAATGAATTCAATTTATAAAATATATTATTTTATTTTTTATTAATAAAAAATTTGTTTCTTTCTTTTTGTTTCTTTCAACGGAAATATACTATTAAAAAAACAAATAAAAAACAATATATATATATATATCAAAAAATTATGTTACAATTCGTTCTATAATAAATTGTAACCATCATCATTATTCAAAGGAGAGGCCCTGATATATACACAGTTAAGGCTGCTGTAAATTTTTTTCAGAAAAAAAAAAGGCTGCTTTAAATTTATTACTAGAATAGTCTTATTAATATATTTTTTGCCCATATCATTTTATTAAGAGTATTTACAGAATTGATTGAATGCAGTTAATGAGTGGTTGGGCATCTGATTGACCATTCTGGTTTGTCTTTTAATAAGAAAAAAGTTATATTTATTAGAATTAAAGGGGAGGGGAACATAGAAGGTTGGAGTTTTTGTATATAGCGTGGATGTGAAACAATGCGAAAGTAAATCCATAGAAATTTCAGGGCATTAAGTTGGCAGTCAGAAGTACTATGATTTCATATCTAGAGTAATGTATCTTCTTCAAGTTTCGTTGCATTATTGAAGATTAATTGGGCTTCTTCTGAAGCAAAATTTAAGGATGAGGTTGTATTAATGCTTTAGTAATAGTTTGGTTTAGATAGGAAGTGAACCACGCAATAAAATCATATCATATTAAAAGTTTTGTTGTTGAGGATTCTTAAATTATAGAGAAAGTTTTATTATTAAAGACGATTCACATTAAAAACATTACTAGTATATATTGTTTTCTTTTTTGTCCTTAAGATATACTATTGGTTTAATTGGGGAAAGAATAATGATAATTGAGATTTGAGACAATAAAATAGGACGAAAATAGAGGGCGAACATGAGATGGTAACCATCTCAGCAAAATATTATTTCAAAGAGGGTTTCATATCAGTAAGTCATGTCATTAGTCTCCTAAAATCATTTTGTGTATTCATCCTCCATATCATCATCCTCAAGAAAATAATGAAAGTCTTGACAGGTTAGGAACACTTAAAAAAGGAAAAATAAGATAATTTAATTTTAAAATACTTATCATTATTAGATTAAGGAGGGGCCTTTTGATAATAGAAAAAAATTTATTCCATCTAATAGCTGGTATTTCGGTAATTGGATTTAAATTCAAAGCTAAAAATTCCCATTTTAATTTTCATAAAACAGG